CCAAAGCTCCTTTCACACTTGTCCTTTTCTCCCTATTTCACTGCCACTGCCCTACTCAAAGTGCTGATATCTTTGTTATCGCTGACATCTTGCCTGTCACAGTTGCCTTCCATTTTCGGGCTTCCCTGCTTCCATTCTTGGTGAACTTCAATTCATTTTCCAGATAGCAAATATACATAAAGTATGTCTTACTGTATCAAGTTACCCCTGGGCTTAAAAGCAGTTGATATCTTCCCACTATACTTAGAAAACAGTTCTAGCTTCCTTACCGCAGCTCTCTGAGTGCCCTTCCTGATCTGGCCCTGCCTCCACCCCATTCTCGTCTCATGCTGTTCTCCTGGGCCTTTCTTCATCATGGTGCCTGTGCTTTTCTGTTGGCTTGAGAGAACTTTGGTCTGTCATTGGGTCTTTGTGTGGCTGACTCTGTCTTATGCTTTGTGACTCAGCTTGAATGTCAGAGTCTGAGACCATCTTACAATGAAAGATCTTCCTTCATTTCTCTTTTAATTCCTTTCATAGTGACCAGCTTTTCTGCTACTAGCACTTACATATCTGGGAACATTAACAAACAGACCTGAGTGCACGTTTATGGTCCATCTCCCTCAGCAGACTGGAAGCTCCAAAGCAACCAGTCTAACATTGCCATTTTGATGCTAATTATGTTTCCAGCATTATGGTGGGCAAAGTAAGTTCTCAATAACTTGCATAATGAATGAATAAATCCTCAACTAAACATTTAACTAAAATATGTTAATTTGATTAAAACAGTTCTTGACAGATGAATGCAGTTCTCTCTCTTCTCTCTCTCTCTATGTCATCCAGGCAAGTGAAATTAGCATGTATATTTGTTTTTTATGTATATGTGCTCACATATATATGCTGTGTGTCAGGAGGAAAAATACTTGGTTTCTTCCTGTTCATACTTTCCTTCCTTTCTTGATCCATTTTCTTTGCTTCTTTTCATTTTCTACAGTTTCTTTTTGATAAAACATTCATTTTCTCATATTTACTTAAAACCAATAACATACTCATATTTGAATGAAATCACACTGATTTCCTCTCAACCTCCAGCACCTCTCAACCTCCAGTTGTTGTTACTTTGGCTTTCTTTTGTTTTTGGTACTGGGGATCGAACTTGGGACCTTGCACTTGGGAGGCAGGTGGCAGAACCACTGAGCTAAATCCCCGGCCCTGGAGGTTTTTTTTTTTTTAGGGTTACTACTTTGGCTTACTTTAAGATTTCAGATTTTTCGTTTATTCTTTCATTCATTTTTCATTTTTAAAAAAGATCTTATTTTAGTTGCTGGGGTAAAGACAAGTAAAATAAAACAAAATCTTTACCCTCAAGTACTTTATAGTGAAAATGTAATGAGTAGATGTGACAGAGTTCAGGAGAAAGGGAGACACACTGTGCTTGAAATGAGGGCAGCATGTGGAGTGGCCGAGCATCTGGGTGGGATGGAATTTTGGGTGAGTATCTGAGTGGCTGTGATAGGAATCTCTTATCCCCTTGTTTCTCAAGCAGCTTCACTATGCAGGTGAGGATTTGTGTTAGATTTTCATCACAATGACAAATACCTGAGAAACAATTTAAGAGGAGGAAAGATTTATTTTGGTTCATGGTGTCAGTCCATGGTCACTTGGCCTTGTTGCCTTGGGCCTGTGTCAAGGCCAAGCATCATGTTGGGGGGCATATGGTAAAACAATGAGAGAGGGTAGAAACAGAAGAGTAATTTCTGATCAGTTGGATGTCAAATGTGCTAAATTCATGGTCCCACAACATCGGGAAATGAAGTTGTGAACCAAAGGAAGAAGTTAGGAGAGTTTTATTGGAAATAAGGGGAGGAAGAATAGCTCCTGAATTTCCAGGAGGGGTCCTGAATGGGTGGCCACCAAGGACCTTCATAAGGGGAATTTATACAGCGAAGTCACACCATGAGTACAACTACAATCAGCCTATAGGATTACAAGTATAGCTACTTAGTTAATATTGGTCCAGTAGAGAAGCGGGTCATGTAACAAGGCTACATGGAAAGAACACAGGCGATTTTGGGAAGGGATGGGTCCAGGTGCTCTGGTCACCCACTTGGGTGACTGATGCCTGTCTGGATTTACTTTACCATGTGGTGCTAATTACAATATAATTCCAAGTTATTGTTTATCCCTTAGGGAGGATGTAGGCCTGGCCATTGCATCTTTATCTTGAAGCCTAGCCTTCTTTAGATGCACCTCCAGCCACAATTCTGATGTTTTTATTTTTGTGTTGATTTTTCTTGAGGCCCGAGTTTCTTTCTGACTGTATATTAATTTTTATCTAACTTAGCTAACTATAGACATGGTAGTGCCATCAACTGAAGACCAAGCCTTCAATATATGAGGTTATATTGGGGACATTAAGATCTAAACAATAACAGGGTTCCAGAGTTTTACTTCCTGTTGCTCTTCCACTTAAAGGAATTGTATTTTCTAAGCCTCAGGACCGATGTGGAGAAAGCCTGAATGTACCTGGGGCAGATCAAAGAAAATACCCATGTAGTCTCATTGTATGAGGGCGACTTCATTTTCATACTGTGTTGTACATCCCACTCCCATTTATTTTTAAATTTAGACAGACCTAAAGGAAGAATGTGCTTATTATGACTAGCCTACAATAAAGAAAGTCCTTGAAACTAACAATGGCAGCAGCTATGTTGAAAACTCAAGGAACTTTGCTTGGTAACTGGTAAAAGTATGAAACACTTGTAGTCAGTGTGATTGGAGAAGACTTTCTTTATAGGTGAGCAAACAGATTTTTTATATTTAGGAAGTCTGGGAAAAATCACTCAAGTGCAGCTCCATAGTACAAGGTAATGAGACTAGATATTGGAATATTACTGAAAAATGGAGATTTTATGTGGAAAGGCAACCTGGAGATTGAGTGTAATTAGAGTAGATGGATTAGGAGGGTGAGAAAGAGGAATTGAACAAGTTTCCTTGTCTTTTACATTCTAACATTAATAGTTACTAATGGTCTTTTAGGGGTAGTAGCTCTGTGATTTTTTTGTGTTTGACACTGAGGAAAGGCTGCTAGAATGTTTTTGCATATATGTCCACCATAATATTTGCAAGATTGTCTGATTAAGTGCAGATGTCTTGTAATTTGATTTTATTTGTATTGAATTTGTATCATATGCCAAAAATCCCCAAGATAACCTATGCCTTGATTTGGAAAGCCTGCCAATTTTGAAAAATCTGTCTTTAGTTACTGATTTCTCTTACAGTCTGGGTGAAACTGGAAAGGCTCTTGAAGAAACCAAGAAGAGCTTGGCCATATCCCTTTTGGCTGCAGAGGAGGAAATAAATCAGCTAAAAAAGCAGCAAAAAAAAATGATAGGATTATTGCAGCCTGCTAATTAATTGTTGAATTTAGGTTTTTTTGGTGTTTCATTACTATATGAAATAATCTGTTTTCAATCAAAGAGAAAAGGCAGCAATATTTTTAATTAATGTCTCATATATTTTTCATACTACATAGTATTTATGTACTATAGACAATTTCCAAAACACAAGATAGTTTAAAGGAATCTAAACCCCACATAATTCTAGGGACATTTACTGTGACCATTTGATATTCCTTCTAATTAATATATCAAAAAAGTGAAGAAGGGCTGGAGATTTAACTCAATGGTTTCCCTTCCTGCTGCATAAGCACAAGGACCCGAGTTTAATCCCCAATACCAAAAAAAAAGTGAAGAATACAGAATAATATATATAAAGATAAATTTTTGGATCCTACCTTTTCATTCACACTGGCTTCTTCTATCACTAAGGAAAAAATACTACAGAATTTAGTTTCAAATAGGTTTATAATTTTCCATTATTTGGATATTTTACTTATTTGAATATTTACTTGGATACTAATTTTCAATACTGGAAACAACATTGTATAAAATTTTGTGGAAAACCTTAGTTTAAATTTCATATTATTTCCTAAAGATCAATTTCTAGAACAGGAAAATAAGAACAGATCCTTTAAGCTTATACCTTTCTGGATCTTAATTGTGATCCCCCTCACACATACAAATACACCCACGTTTTCATACATGTTCCTATTGTTCTGATTTCTTTAGGAAAACCTATAAATCTTATCTTGGAACAGTGTTCTATTTTCTACCTCTGTCTTCTTCCTCACCATCATTTTAATCTCTATGTCTTATTTGGTACACCTCAAATTCAGCGGTCACATTACTCATTGATTCCCAGAGCACCTGTTCGTTCTTTACAGTTTTTTAGCTTTTGATCCCATTACATTTTTAGCTTCTCTGCATTTTTCTTAATCTTACTTCTTGTCTTTTCATTTTATACAATTGCCATTCTTATCACGGCCTGTTCTCTTATCACTTTTGCCTCTGTTTTATATTGGCCATGCCTCTTTGGATCTTAATGAGAATGCCGATTTTATTTCTAAAAGTTTTTGTTTCTGTACTACATTATTTTCATAGATCCACACTTCCAGCTAGTGCTGTGAATAATGTTCAATGCCCATTGTAATTCCCCCTCCGAAGACATCTGTTCAGAGAACTAGAGAGGGTAGAGAACTACATCTTAGACAAGCTCTGGACTAGGTTTTGAAGGTCAGGTGTTTTCAGAGTTTTGTGAAGCTGAGATGAGTCCAGTGTACAACAGTAGAACTGGAGGTCCACACTATTTTTCCTAGGGAACCTAAATGAGTGTTCTTTCTTTAGGAACCTTTTTCCATGCAAATGCAGATGTGTACGGGCACCTTGACTCTGCCAATTCTGTTCCCCTCTGCTTTATGTTTGTTCATGTGCATTTCCAGCACTTTTCTAATGCAGTAATGGCATATGAGACACAACTAATGATGTTAAGCATACCAATTGTAGCTTATCACCCACCTTTCCTTCCTTTCTTTTCTCCTTCTTTCCTCCCTCTCCCTTCCCTTCCCCTTCCTTTCCTTTTACGTTTTCATGTCCTCTTCTTTCCTCTCCCCTACTGTTCAGGTTTAAATCCCTTCAAGCCCAGGAGGTTGCCCACCACAGAAGCACTGCAACTAGGCGCCAAGAGCAGTGCAAAACTGAGCAGAGGGTTTTGGCCAGGCAGAACACAGACCAGCGGGACACAGAGCTGTATGAGGTGTATGAGAAACAGATCCGAGACCTGAAAGATGAGATAGCTGTCCTGTCTGCAGAAAAATCTAGTCTCCAAGGAAGGTCAGACAAATTCTCATAGCTCTTTTCATTTATGCTTTTTTTGCTGAATTCATAGAGAAGCCTGGGTGAGGGGTTTAGGGTGAAGTTAAAATGACGTAAACTAAAACCCCAATGATCTGAGAGGCTTTACCTTATAAAGGGATTGATTGATTGATTTTTGCAGTGTTGGGGATCAAACCCGGGGTCTTGTACATGCTAGGCAAGAACTCCACCATGGAGCCACAACCTCAACCCTAGGGATTATTTTCTTTAACTGCACCCTTCCAGAGAGAGAATCCTCCTTAATTGCGAGTACTTGGACATTGATAAATATTGAGTTGAACGATATGGGTAGGAAGGGTCTTTGGCTTGAAACAGTCTGAGTGGGTTAATAATGCAAATGGTGGTGTCCACATTGAAAGACTGCTCCATAACATTAGGGTCCTTATCTCTGAGGCCTGGGAGTCCTCTTTCCAGGAACAACTGTCCATTTTAGTGCATGGTATTTCTTTTTCTCACTTTGTAGATGGGATGTAGGTAAAAATGTTTTTGTAAAATCCCTTCTACTGATGGCAGATGCTGAGGCTTACTCTGATAGTGATGGCACAGCAGCATGTTTCTCTTGGAGTCTCTGTATTGCCCTTATTCTTTCTACCCAACCCCCAATATGCCCTTAATTCAGGATATCAAAGCACCTCCCACCACCTGTCCCTATCCCTTAAATGTCACCTGAGTCTTTCATTTCTGGGACTCACTCTGTCTGTGTTGTTCTGAAGCTAACTTGTACTGGCTCCCAAGAACTTGAGCCTTTCTCTTATGGTGAGTGTATTTGTGCCATGGGAATTGGCAAACATTACAAATGAGAGCTTCTCTACCTTCTGCTAAAGCCCACTGACCAACCAATCACTGCACCATTTTGTACAACCTTTGGCCCATACTTTCTTCTGTAAAACTTCCTTTTGGAGGCTCAATTTCTTCTGGGCCATGTAGTCTGATACATTTTACTTTGTACTTGGGAGCCATCCACTTATACCATAAGGCTCATGAGATGTGCTCGTGTGGTGCATTAGAAATACCACAATTTGATCTCTCTTCTAACTTTGGCTCTTGTCAACCATGTTACTCCAGGATGGCCTCAGTAATTTTTCAAAGCTGCATGTTTCTCATGTATAAAACAGCCAACAGTCAAAGCTGACCTCACGGGATTGTTTAATGGATAAAGTGAGGTGCTGCATGAATGAAAGTGCTCTATCAATTTTAAGTCACTGCGTTGATATGGAGTATTGCTTTTTGTGATTACATTTGAGGCCTCCAGAAACAAATGCTTTCTGCAGGTCTTGTGGGGAGGACATCACTGGCAGCCACTTGCCCCGCGTTGGAGGGTTCTGGTTCCTGTTTGCCATTTGCAGATTTTGTTGGATGAAAAATCAGAGTCTGGGAAGGGCAGACAGAGCAGGTGAAAATGTTTCCTTTGGTCATTCTTGCTTACCAACAGGTCAGCCAGGAGCCAGTCTCCTAGCCCTGAGCATCAGAGCCACAGTGACAACTATAGCCAGAGCAGGTCTGCCAGCCCCTCTACCGCAGTTGCCAAGGACAGAAGCCCATCACCAAATCGGTCCAAACTGTCCAGTGTGGCTCGCAAGGCTGCCCTCCTGTCCAGGTTCAGTGATGCCTATTCGCAAGCCCGCCTGGATGCACAGTGCCTGCTTCGGCGCTGCATCGACAATGCTGAGACTGTGCAGCGCATCATCTACATTGCCACTGTGGTATGTGACATGGCCAGGGCTGGGAACAATGGTTTGGTAAGGTTATAGTACAACTTTAAGACTGAGAGATCCTGAGGTCACTGAATGAAGGAATTCTGTAGTCTCCCCATCTGTCCCCTTTCTCCTTCTCTCCCTTCCTTCCTCCCTCCTTTCTTTCTTTCCTTTTTCTTTCATCACAAACATGTGAGTGTGAATTGCTTTTCACAATCAGTAGCCTTTTATACATGTGCTAATATTTATATTGGCCAGACATTTGTTGAAGAAGTATCCATGACTGCAGAACTATCTTCAGTGGGTATAAACAAAGTTGATTTCCATGGTCCCTTTGTCTATGAGCACATGAACACACAGTAGATATATCACTGCAAATAGCTATCACTTGATTGTTTTCCTACAGAAAAATCAGAGATTGTAATTGTGTTAACTCTTCTGTTTATTTAATGAAGAGTAGTTACTAAAACTGCCAATATATCAGCTACTTGAGAATGCAAATTAAAAATGTACATAACCATGATCTTTTTGTTTCCAAAGCAAAGGTATTTGTTCTATGAGTGGGTGCCATATTGAGATAAAGAGTCCATGCTGAGAATAGTTAAATATTAAGAAGTGAAAAAAATGTCAGCATGAGAGCAGAATTATCAGAAATGATGTACTTATTCATTTAAGCTGCCTATGGCCTATGAACCATATCTGGACTTTGTATTTCTAGGAATACTGCCTAAGAGCTAAGAATTTAAGAATGGTTTCACATCTTTAAAGGGTTTTAAGGAAAAAATATAGGATGGAGACTATATTTTGCCTGTAAAGCCTAATATTTACTGTGTGGCTTTTTAGAGAACAAAGTTTGTCAAGCCCTGGTTTATAGAATTAAGAATGAGCTTATTGACCAAATGGAGAAAGGGAAAGAAATTGGTAAGTGGAGGTACTCAGGAAGTTCTTGTGGCTATTTGTGTAGATTTATAGTTTTGGCTTTCATTTTATTTAGCTAAAATCATGGAAGCAACTCTGCATTTTGGAAAAAATTCCACTGAATTATCAGAAAGTTGAATTAAGGGCTGGGGATAAGCATTTGCCTAGCATGTGTGAAGCCCTGGATTTGGTCACCCAACACGACAAAAAAAAAAAAAAAAAATTGATCAGAAAAAATTGACAAAATTATCAATGACTTTTTTTTTTTTTTTTTTTGGTACTGGGGATCGAACTCAGGTCCTTATGCTTGTGAGGTGGGCAGTGGAACCACTGAGCTAAATCCCCAGACCCTATAAGTAGTAACTCTTTACCCAGTAGTGTCTGATTTTCAGCAAGTGGAACATTTTTTATTAGCGTATTAGAGAAAATGGTTAAGTTTTACAGCAAAACTAAGGGAGCAGTAACATCCAGAAACAAAAGTAACAACTTGAGTTGTTCAGTTAGAGGAACCAACTCAATTTTTGAGATCCCCCCCATGATATAGTTACTATCATGCTTAACATTTGTGATTGGCAAAATAATCCAAAACTTTTAAGCCTCGTTGGTTTACACTCCTAATCACTGACCATAAGGATATAGACCAAAATTAAGTAGTTGTACTTGAATACAGATCTTAGTTCGAGTCTTCCATAATCTAATTACTTGACTTAGTGCTTCTGTGAAGGCTTTTTGGCCCTTGAGATTTTATTTAGATTTCTAAGATAGTGTAGAATAGAGACTAATTATAGTATGAATGCTGAATTCAAAAGAGTATGCTTGAATGACTAGGCACCTTTTTGGCAAACTGTTTACAAACCCATTAATTTTGTTCCCATTGAGAAAAGAATTGGTCTTGATTCATCTGGCTGTATTCTGGCTATAAAAGAAATGGAATGATAAAATGTCTCCCAAAATGCCTTCCAAAATGTCTTCCTTGTTTGACTGGTAATTAAACAGAACTCTTAGGTATTATAGATCACATCTTTTGGAATGTTTTTGTATTGAAATTTAATAAAACTTTAACCTACAAAAAAATGAACTTACTGAGTTGGTTAAACCTGTGTAAGCATAGAGACCATGCCTTTCTTACGTAACTAAATGTTCCCAGTGCCTACTATATAATAGCCATAATAAAATTTTTGAATTATTATATGCCAGGAAACATACTTGACTCTTGATATGTGTTTACATATAAGATAAACACTGTATTGGTAATTTTATTTCTTGGCCAGTAATATGATGTTGCTATTGACTGATAGCAAGATTTATATTCTTGAATCTCTTCACTGCCCTTCCTACACTCAGAATTAAGAGAACAGGGTCAAATTGTCTTGAAACGACTGGATGTGGATTTTCACGTAAGTATTCATGTACTTTTCAAATTTAAGGTGTATTTTCTGTCAGATTAAAAATACTTTTGACCAACTGCATACAGTTATCCAAAGATTAACATGAAGTTGAGTTGTTTATCTTTTTCTAATTTCTTTCTTAGGACCTCTTTACCCTCCTCCTCTCACCAGATAAATCTGCTGTGTTTTCATGTTCAGGAGGCATTTCATGTGGCTAAAATGGCATTCAGACACTTCAAGTTCCGGGTGAGGAAGTCAATGACGACACCATCTTACTTGGGGTCGAATGACTTTGAGAATGCTGTCATGGACTATATCATTTGTCATCTTGATCTATATGATTCCCAAAGCAGTGTTAATGTAAGTATTAGGCCTCTCATTAGGACTAGTTGGTGACTAATGAAGTTTGTATTGGATACTGATAACTCAGGAATCCATCAAGATTTAGTATTACTTTTCTTTTTCTTTTTTTTTTTT